TACGACAGGACACGGATTCCTGCCATCAAATGTTCCTAAGTTTAGCACTTCAACTTGCTACTTACACACTACGTTTCTACAGGCACAATCGATACAAACCTATCTCAGTTTGCCGAGTGTTCGATAATGTGGCATGCTAGTACGTGCTTGGAAATCATGAGTTAAAGCAGATCACTTCTATGGGTTGCGATTGGTGACAAAAAAGAATTTTATAAAAACGCGCGAAGCAGGTGACCTGGATTACTCGTAAGGGCTTCGAAGGGTAGCTGTTGCCACAGAAGCGACAAAGAGGTGATAATAACGAAAAGGGAATCGTCTTCAGTCAATCGTTTAGAAAGGATCCCTATGAGAAAGTCATTAATCTAGTTGGACTATAGGTGAGTAGCAGTAAGAGATATAAGAATAGAAGAGCTGTCAACATTGAAGAACGGACCCCATTTCACATGACTGGTTTATATAATCCCACTGTTATTAAATCGTCTTGTCATAATACTCTGGGATATCCAACAAATCTCGAAAGGTGGTCATTTATGATTAGAGCATGTTAGGCGTCGTTTTCTTGTGGGCGGTTTTTGCGGTCAGGAACAAAGTCGATCGACAGATGCCGGTGAGTGCGCCTCTAATTCTCCTGCTGAACATACTTAGTCGCATGTGTGTCAGCGATTGGCTTGACTTGCAAAGGACGCTGTAGCTGATTCTTCTTAGTAAGGCTTCTCTTCTAATCAGCGGCTTTTCTGAGCTGTATTGTAAGATTCTGCGGTCTAGCAGAACGACGTCGCATAGAACCGGTCTACAGGCACATAAGTCAATTTCGTATGCTATTGAAATGTTCATTGTTTTCTTCGATATCAGATATGAAACTCGTTCTATGTACGGCCTTTCTGTCCCATTCGGTAGTCTCCACTATCAACTATGATGGTAGAGACCACCACAGCTACCAATTAACCCACAGTCGAATGGTAGTCCAGCGAAGTTAATTTAATCGATTTCTTAATATTTGTGAGCAACTAGTCACGGCAGAAACTTGGTTGCAATAAAGAACTATTCTATGAAAAAGTTTTGGGTACTCGATAAGGGTTCTGCTCAAGAAGATTACTACAATATATATGCACCTATAGTACATTGACAATCGCGACAACTATTTTATATTAAGTACCCCGCGCTTAATTAGGGTTGCAATAGCCTGTGTTTTTTGTTTTGTTTATTGCACTTCTTCCGTCTAAATCTTTTTCTCACCTCCGTTTGAGTCTAGCAGTGTTTGGGTCTGAACGAATTCCAGCTTGCCTCCTCAAATAATTTATAATATTCATATAATATAAAAGGTGAGGTAGCCGACGGGGGTCTCTCCGAGAACAAACAATTTTGTTCTGTCCATGTACTTTGCACAGGGGTTTATGCATATTGGCCGAAGGCCAAATGGCAAAAGTAGCAGCGAATCATCATTACTTTGACCACGAGAGGAAGATATCACTATGTAACTTAGAACTAATATGTGTAGGTATAAATACCTAAAAGGTCCATTGTATGATTTGTCCCTGTAAAGATTAATGTACGGACATGATAACAACAATATGGATACAATTACTAAGCAGTCCACAACGAACAATCCCACTACGAAAAAGGCTTTTTGATCGGATTCAGGGAAACGCTACTTGACGTGCTTAGACCTTCAAAGGGAAGCCAGTAAGCGTCCGGTGTGGCTAGACGTGTTGGACCCGCCACGATGGGCAATCTTGTTTACGGGTTAGCGTGACTCAGTCTACCCTCGGGGTGCTCCCTGCCAGACCTGGTGAAACCAACGCCAAGCTCTAATCTACTCTATTTGTGGCAAAACACTGTGCACTATCATAGCTGGGTGGTTCCTATTGGCAGGTTCGATTCTCGATTTTCTAGCTAAGTTGGTTAATATGCAGGACGTCTTGGTTTCTTCTGTAGTTAGTTATGAATGTTATCAAATATTCCTTCTGCGTAGCTACATTCTGCGAGGTAACGGCTTCATACTAATTGGTTCTGCTTGTGTTTTCATCTTGTTATACTTATACTATTGCATACTACTTTTGAGGGATCACTGGACCGTGTATTCTTCAGGTATGGTAGGTCACTTAAGGTGAGGCAGTCTAACTTCTTAGAATGGCAATATAAGACTTTGATAGTGTGTGCGATTAATGGATCTTTTAGTGGCCTAATGGCTGCTTTAACTTCGCGAAAGTCGCATTATATGAAACCTTTTGAATCAGCTCCCACTATAACTTTCCCAGATTTTTGTGCGACTATTGTAGGATCATGGTGCAAAGCACGTACAGCCTGTATATGGATGACTACGTTTTTCGAACTTGCAGAAGAACGTGCAAGGTATGGATTGTGAGCGTCTATATTGGGTAACCTTTCATAAGTAAACAAAAAGTTTAGCCCATATCCGCACTTAAGTTTTCTGTGACAGTCAGTAAACACAGCGGTGCTTTCAGATGAAATGCGTCGCCTAACAAGCATTTTTAGTCGGCAGATCAGAATTCTGAGGTATCTGATACTGATAGCAATGTGTAGATGAACGTCTTTTTTGACTGTTCACCGAGCTGAAAGGTTGGACAGAACAACAAAAGGCGAGTCTTATAATACAACAATATCACAAATTAATACACGTTTAACTTGCAGTCATTGGCTAAATAAAGACCGGCAAGGCAGTTCGAGAAAACTACTGATGCTGGAAAATGTTGAGTGACAAATAGCGTTTAGTGGTCCATGCCGAAGACATGACGAATGAAGACAGCCATTACCGCGACCTCATAGCCGTTATGGCTATTAAACACTATAACGTTACCATTATAACTACACCATTAGACTACTTCTCGGCACTATTTCATAACTAAATATGGTAGGGTTTTTGTCTTTGGCATCTTCTAGCCGGACTGCCTGATTTGCATGCTGACCTAGGACTGTTTCTACCCGGTCTTCTTTGTCCCTTTTCACTCTGTTTAGCAGCATCGCGGTAATCCTAGGCAATCGAATAACAAGCGTTTAATTATGAAAACCGAAAAGGGTAAACGCGAGACTTGCAAATTAAAAAAAAAGGTTTACTAAATCGATGTGGATATCGTTGTCTGTCCTCATCTACCGTGCATGTAACACAGGTACGCTTACAGTATCTGTTTGTTTGTGCGGACTTATATGCTACACAAACCTATAAAATCGCTGCTCGCATTTTTGATCGTGCTGGCGGCCTAAATGTGAAGTACAGGTCGTTCACGTACGAAGTCAGTAACGCCCGTCGCCCCATTAACACGACTAGACATTTTCTAGACAACAAATTCTAGACTTATCTCTAGACAGATACTAAGTAACATTGACTCATATCGAAAAGAATACGGAAACATAATTAGAAAGAAAGCGACTAAAAGGAGGACAAGACCAAACTGGAACCAATAAACGAACGATGCCAATAATAAGAATCACTACTATAGTTTTGATCGTTATTATGGGTTTAACCGGGAAGGCAGTCTCACAACCGTAGCATTGTTCGTTTGTTTCACTGCTTTCGTTTCCCTAGTAGACTGATCCGTCAGGGCATGGTTGAGCGCGATCTGCAAACGCCATCAAGAATCGGGCTAGAGTACCAGCTCGTATAGCACTCAATACAACTGTTGCGTCGTGATGAGCTTGATTGCTGTGAAGTCCTCTTAAGCAAAGAGCCGCGAGCAACGGGGCGACCTTCGTGTTGTCGGCGCAGCTTTGGCTCTTGCAAGAAGCTGGGTCAGGCGTAGCTAGTGAAGTCAGATATGTGAGGACGCGCGGTAGTGCAGAGAAAGGTTTCGTAGGTTGTTACGGTGGTTAGAGGTGTTATAGGCTAATTGATAGATCCTTGATCGTCTGATATTGGTTATGTTGGATATTTAATGAAACAGCACGTGGCGAGAGCAGGGAAAGTACTTCGAAGGCTTTGACGACAGCTTACACACAACATTGAGCAAGTCGACTCGGAATTGTTTGTTATAGCTTATAAATGCTGGATTTTCGTCAGTCGAAATAAACACGAAATGTTTAGGCTATCTTGGCGCGCTACCTATTAAGATAACTGGGCCGGCTTGAAAGGACACTTCGAAAGCTTTTGCTGTCTAACCAACATTGACACGCTTGTTATAGTGAGTTGCACATAGATGGTGGTGCAAGCGGGAATCATTCTACGAGGGGCAATTTTAGATCCTGAAAAATAGCACTCTAATACCTGAGTGCTATGTAGTAGTAAGTAGCATGTGGATATACCGACATATTACCACGTTTCAATATTAAACTTTCGAGATTTCTGCTAGACGTTACCGTCGAGCATAGTTCTCATATTTGAGTGAAGTTTTATACTGATGTGCGGTATTTTTTTATGTATTAGTGTAGTTACTTCAAATACGTTTGACACGATTTACAGTGAGAGTTGGTGATCTCTGTAGCTTGGAATGACGAACCTAGCTAGCTTGGTAAGAAAAAAATCTCGAACGAGACTCGCTGTTAAAATCAACGTATTGTTTTATCTAAAACGAAGGTAGAAAATTAGGTACATGCCATTTTAGGGACCAAAATTTATCACGAATTATGTAACCGCATTTCATGCAGACAGACGGCGAATTTCAGGTATAAAGGAGCTTATTTTGTTGTTTGACTCGTTTGTCTATGGTCTTAAATTATCTCTCTAAACTTATATCGATGGCGTTCTGTTCCTATTGCCACTGTTCCTCTATGTTCATATCACTATATCCTATAGCAACACAACGTAGCACGATTTCCTAAAACCATTTGTATAATCATTTATGGAAACATAATGGTACGATTTGAAAACAGCTTTTCTCAACATTTTCCGATCTTTCTTTTTGTTTTCACTCAACTTTAAGGTTTAAATTCCAAGTAAGCGCTAGGTTAGGTCAAAGTGAGGCTAATTTAACTGATCACACTGAAACCACCACTCTTCCTTGTCTAAAGAGCCACAAGTACTAACTTATTTTCTTTTAATTTTTCAGGTCCTTCAGAAGCCCAGGCTGTGACCTTACCCGGCGACTTTATCAGCGCTTTGTCTTGCGTCAGAATTAAATGTCGGAACAATAATAACCAACCACAGCGAAAATAGAGCTATATCTGAGCAGAACACTAGACTACCCAAACGCTAAACTTCGTAAAAAAAGAATTTGGAAAAAGGAAAAGTTCTTCAGGATTTTTCAGTCTCCTTTTGTGTCTATTAAGAGCGATTGTACCAGGCAAGTATTGCTGGTATTATTTGATCTTTCTTCCAATCTTCAGCTCAGACCAGCAACAACTTACGAAATAAATACTATAAAGGTGAAACTTGTATACAGATAACACCTGTAACAACCTCTGTGACAATTCACCGAAATTTTCGGTCTTTTTCTCTTGCTAAAAGCGTCGTAATAAGCGCTCAAAAAGAAAAGTGCCGTTGCGAATCGTTGCCCAAAAGACAATTTGCATGCTTAAGACTTGCTGCTGGTCGTTTGTACTTTCAGCTTGACGAAACACACGCGATTCCGTGTACTACTGCTGCCTGTTTTCGCATTATTGCTAAATAGAAGCAATTTAATTGATTGGAAGACTATTGGATACGGCCTTTTTGGTCGTTGTGAAGTAAACACAAACCTTCAAAATGAGGGAGTACAAGATCGTGGTGCTGGGTTCCGGTGGTGTGGGCAAATCGGCCCTAACGGTGCAATTTGTACAGGGCATTTTTGTCGAGAAGTATGATCCTACCATCGAGGACTCATACCGAAAGCAGGTATGTTTTATCGCACGTCCGGCAGTCGGCCGTAGTGCGACTTCGGTCTCAGTCACTAGAATTGTTTCTATATGAATTTGTAAGTTAACGTTAATTGAATTGGTTATGACTGAATAACAACTATTTTATGGCAGATACATGACGTGTTGGGATAGAGGTGACGGTATTCCACCACTATGATTATTTAGCCTTGTGAAAATCTGCCTTGCTATTGTAAGGTGCTGCATGTACATGAGAGATGGTGAAGCTATTTTTATGAAATTGCATTTGATCCTAAGGGGTCGCTTTGATGAATATGTGCTGCGCTCTTTTGACGTAAATCAAGATATCTCTACCTCTAATAATAATAATAATAGGTTTAAATGAATGTTGTTACCATTATTGCTAGCATTGAACCGGCAATTATCCAATACATAGTAAAAAAAACAGGCGTGGGCTCTATACATGCGCTGTCGTTGTACGAGGTAAGCTTAGAGACTCAACAATAGTCACCTGGTGTCACCAGCAAACGTGCGCCCTTGTTGCCAAAGCCTTTCCTGGAAGTTGGTTTGAATCTCGTTGGACGCTTGCTCAAAAGCCGGGTGAAAACCTTTGTTTGTTTTTCCATGCTCTAATGGGGAGAGCGATTATTTATAGCTGCTTGAACGCTGGCGATGGCGACGCCGATACGACACTGAGGTGCTCAAACAGAGCTAGAAGTTGTGACAGCTATTCTCGATGGCTAATGGTAGACGACAAGTAGCTTTGTTTTTGTTAGCGCTGGTTGGAATGGTTAGTGACGTGGTTGGGATGGAACTGAATCATGACACGGCAGATCTACGCGTTCAGTTGGTGTTGTTGTTTTGGCTCAAAAAACTTCAGTGCACGCAATACCGTTCAGAGAGCGTTTATTGTTCTAGAACGACACCAGGTGTCGAAAGTAGGTGTTAGGCGACTGACTGGACTCTTTATGAAAACAACACATGGCGTCATGAGTACTACTCTATTGTATTGAAATATCTACATCAATATGTAGACGATATCGTACATACGAAGTGTCCTTCTAGTATGATTATTCTTACTATTAGCGTCGGCTTATTATACTCAAAAGACAGCTATCGATCGGGGCCAAAAAGGACTTCGCGTATCTCGTATAACGTTTGTGAATTGTAATCAGATTTTGGGGTAATGGTTAAAACGGGTACGGGGAGAATATTTGTTTTATATACACTGACAAGCCAACTGGTGTTTTCCTCTGATCTGTGGATAGCTAAAACATAAACCCTAAAACCGCGTCGTATTGCTACCGAACAATATCGGTCGAATAACTAGGACCAGGATAATCACCGATCGCTTTAAATCGTATCAATGGGGATACACGAGAAGTTTAAGCGTATTTCAGTTATTTCGAACATATACGTTAGTATAAGTAAATCCAAAAAGTCGTTAGACTTTATATATCTTTGAGATAAAGACACAAACTCATGCAAACCGAATTTGTACAACGCGTGGTCTTTCTCCTGTTTAGGTTCTGAAAGGGCTTCAAAGACATCCAGGTATTTAGGTTGGCACAGAAAGGAAGTTATGATTTGTACGGATGCTGGACGTGCTACACACAGCGAACTCTTAACCTATCTTTCCACGCTCGCTGACAAGGCAACAAGGGGTGCCACTATAAACTAAATCTGGCTTTTTTTTTCTACTCACTACTGTGCCATACATTATTAAACGCGGTTGATTTTTCCTCCTTCCTAATTTGTGAGTGATCAGAATTGAAGTCCTTTCAACATGAAAGTAGCTTTGGTAATACCTACAGCGAAGTGTTACCTAGCATTGGTTGTCGTAATAGAGGACTTTGTTGGTGATTTTGACTATATTCCTCTTCAAGTTCAATTTAGTCGCCTGACTTGCCCCAAACAGCGTCATCACGGCTAGCTGGCGAGCGTCCGCAATCAGTACCGAATTACGGGCGTTAGGTGATTCATTGTGACAGCGACGCCCCCGCTATTTCTTGCCCCCAGGAAACTGTTTGCGAAATGTTAGTGCATTAGACTTACACGTTGTGCATACAACAACGTTTATATACATGTCTATGTATGTATATGGCTTGGTCGATACCTCTTGTTGATCGGTCTGTTAGGAAGTGCACGCTTTGCCAAGGCTTTGCTAAAGGCTCTTATTTCAGAAGAGCTGTCATTTCTTGCGACATGGCAAATACGAGCTGGCTTATTTGGTGAACTTATCAAACTTGTACAGCCCGGCACAATTAACGAACAACTTTATACATTGTATGAATGGTACAGTGGAATTTGTTTTTACGACTGTAGAAGAATTACATTTGCAGACAAAATTTTACTTTCCTCCTTAACACTGAAGCTCACTAAAAGCATCGGATTGGGGCTTCACTCAGATTAAGGTGCCGACAGAGTATTTCTGGGCAGCTTGAGCTGGTTAAAATCTTAGAGAATGATAGCCTGGAGGATTTTCGATTGAGCCATTAAAGCAGACCATATCTGTATACAGCTGTGAGTATTCAGCCTATAACTATCCTAGTCACGTTCCTCGGAGTGGTACACAATAATTTAATTGCGTTATAATATTATAGATTTAAAATGGACGACGCTAACATGTGAGCAAGAGGGAAGCGTGGACACAGTCCGTGTGCTGGGTGTGTGATCTAATGAGCGTTACAATGTAAAATTGATTTAGGCGTATGTTTTTAATAATATTAATTCATTTCTATATGCTGTTAAGTTGTTTTCTACATAATATCTGTCTGTTTGTGCCACGTCTTTCTAAACACTAGAAAGTTCTCATCTAGATATCTAAGTTAATCATTAACTTTTTTTTATTATTTTGATTATTTTTGTTGCGATTTGCAATACGCTGCCGTACTTTCTGTTCAGGTGGAAGTCGATGGACAGCAATGCATGCTGGAAATCCTAGACACGGCGGGCACAGAGCAGTTCACGGCGATGCGTGACCTCTACATGAAGAATGGCCAGGGTTTTGCTCTCGTCTACTCAATCACTGCACAATCGACCTTCAACGATTTACAGGACCTTCGTGAGCAAATTCTACGTGTCAAGGTAGGGAAGCGTATGGGAAAAATTTATAAATTTTGAGTGTGGCCAAAGAAAAAACTGTCAATTATTAAATACAGCCTGTACAATGATAACGTAGAACAAGTTCCTCTACGTTTCAGAATTTCGGTTCAGTGGTCCCTGGCTCATTGAGACACCGGACAGCGCTGAGTGCCATCAACAGCGATCAGAAAAACAATTTAGTTTTTTATTTTTGAATAAGAATTACTAAGCTATTTTGCCCTATGTTGAAAGATGCAATTTATAGTAGTCTACGACTCCGAATCAGCCTTTCCGTTGCTGCTGCTGCTGCTGCTGCTATCTAATGTCGCTAATTTTCTGCCTTCTTTTTGCTGCTCTCTATTCCGGTGTTCCATTTGGACTATGCTCGTCCTGGTTCAGGACACGGACGACGTGCCGATGATTCTGGTAGGCAACAAGTGCGACCTCGAGGACGAGCGGGTGGTGGGCAAGGAACTGGGGGCTAACCTAGCGCGACAGTTTAACAACTGCGCATTCCTTGAGTCGTCCGCCAAGGCCAAAGTGAACGTGAACGAGATCTTCTACGACCTCGTGCGCCAGATCAATCGGAAGAACCCCGAGCGAAAGCAAAATCCTTCCAAGAAGCGCCACAAGTGCACCCTGTTCTAACTCCTTTTGTGCTGCTTGCTTCCCTTTTGAACCCTCATTTACTTGACTCTTCACCGCTTCACGGCTTCCTTCCTCCTTCAATCCTTCCGTTTTTACACTCTTATCAGCAATACCATTAAGACTATTATTACCATTTACAATGAATTATTCTATTATATAATAATTATACATATTAATACAACAGTATATGACAGGAAAACAGACAGATACACACGTAAAAACAAACGCATACACACACAGATTTGCAAACAAAGTCCATACAATATCAGTAAACACCAGCAACGACCGACAGAACTTTTTTCCGATAGCGAAGCAATGGAGGCATCACAGTTATTGATGATAAAGCATTATTAAAATAAGAATGATGATGTTATTACTACTAATATTATGACAAGCATTATCGAGTGTGACAACAGCCAAAATTAGTAGAACAAAAAAACTGGCTAAAGCCAAACCGTTTCGGTATAACAGTGACAACTTCTTGCAAATAGATAAATGATTCCACTAGGTAGGCTTGCTTCAATGACATACAAAAGCGACAATGATACCAGTTAGAGGCAGCAGAAGCAGCGGAGTAACAACTACCAATAGGTGTTGGAAACGAAGGCAAACTGACCGAGCATCCCACGATTACAAAAAGAAGGAATTAATATGGAAGTTGTGTAGTAGCTGTCGTCGGCGCTGGATTTTTGTGAAAATTCAAGGCTTCGTTGGGGCAAACGACTGAGATAGTCGGATCATCGAACCTGCTTGTCCGACGAAAGGCTTTCGCCTGCAAGGGTAAGCGCATGTAACGCACGAGCAGAAGCTACGATTAAGATGATGGCCTGTCAGTAAGAATTAAACATGATGGCTACACAAGTTTAAAAGTTTAGTTGTAGTGGAAAAAGAAGAAAAGAGCTTTTATTTGACAAGGGGCCGTCGTCTGACTGCCATTCGGCTGTTACTACTGCCAGCTGCGTTGGTTAGATGTTGTTCAGATGCGTACGATACGGCGGCGTTACGACATGCACGACGATGTTATTGAATCATGCAGGTAAAACAGCAGTAATAACACTTATTATTGCTGCTGGTAGTAAGGTAACGGCATAACTATCAACGATTAGCAGAAGAACTTGATACGACTTGATAGTGCCGTCTGCACATATAGCGGCCATAGAGTGAAAGAATGACCGTAAAAGTCTCTCTTTTGAATGGCATGAAAGGCAGACGACGAAGCAACTGGAAAAATGCGCCATGTGGCGCTGCTGTAGTAACAATAATGGCAAACTTTAAACAAACACACAAATATCTCTCCCCTCTCTCTTTCTCTCTCTCCATATATATATATATATATATATATATATATATATATATTAATAGAACATGTCAAATTAGCTGTGACGACAGAGAAAGCAAGACAGAACGAAAGCAAGCGAGAAAGAATGAATGAAATAGAGAGAAAGCGAGTGAAAAACTTGAAAATGGTGAGGAAAACGTCATGACCCATCATCTCATCCGCATCCCGCAATTTCATGCACACGCATGCAGCAAACAACTATAAAAGGGAAAGCCTACAGCGACGAGTGTTGTGCAGAACGGTACAATATATATATATATATATACATATATATATATATATATATATATATATATATATGGGTAGATAAATAAGTTAGAACTGTTTTGACAAAGATAGCGGAGCCGTCAAATGCTAAAAAAAGGTGGACAGACAGAAAAACATCAGAACGAAAAATTTATAGGTATAGTAACAGACGCTGGATAATGACGGGGGTCACTACTTCACAAAAGAGCATTTAGCTGCTCATTCAACAACGACAGAGTCTTACGTCAACAGTAATAGAATGATTGAAAAAGTTGCTGGAAGAATCCGTCTGTTTAAGATGACATTATTACAGATGACGAACATTAAATGTTAAGAAAGGAACGATGCAAGCCATTTTGATCAACGTTACATCGTCACCTCCTACTTTGTTTTATTGCTTCGATAATATTGCTTGGTCAAATTTCATCATAAAACAGAAAGAAACTTTTATAAAATGATAATTTCGGATGAAGAATATAGCCCAACTTTGTTGTTTATCTTATCAGACGAAAAAGGATCGTAATAACAACCATAATAATCAATAAGGATGAGTTAATGACATGTTTGTCGTCATCTTTGATGAGGGATAAATGCGTGATTGATGACAAAAAATCAATTTTTACTTTGCGACTTCAATCCCAATGACGATTGGGTACGTGTAACCAATAATAACGCAAGGCGTCGGAACTAAAGATGATTATAAGGTGGACCTAGGGTAAGCGATGTAAGAAAACAAAAAAGAACCAAATTTCCAACTCATCATAACTGTTTGAAATAAAGAAGATATTGGAAAAAGATGAATTCGTCTACGTTTTTGATAAGGCATAATACTTGACGGTAGTAACTGAGGATAGAAATATCAGACCACACGAGTGAATCGACAACAGGTGACGCCTGTTGCGATGGCAACACAACTCGCACTCGATGCTCTACCAAAATGACAAGCAATCACCGGCTCGTCACTTACCAACGGTTGGCAGATAAGCCAACTAAGATAAGAAGAGATATTACTAGTTCAACCAGCCGCATGCTAGCCAGACTGGGCATGGACCAACGTGCACGTACAGCACGTTTACAGAGGTTGTTCGACACCTGCGTGTCACTTCGCCCTCAATCTGCTTCCGATTCATCCTGATTCAATACGGCTTCGCAAGTGTGTGATGTTAGGCAGTGCCTGCCGTTTCGTTCTATTGTTGAATGAGCAGATCAGCAACTATTCAATCAATGTGATAAGGTTAATGGTAATAAAGATGACCCCCCAACGGTAGCAACGACCATCGAATGATCCAGTTCCTACTAATGCAGATAGTAACTCCGCTATAATAACCATATTTTCATTAGTAGCAATGCCCATACAATTGTCATACGTCATGCAATACGTATAGGCAGTTGGCTAAATAAACTGTCTTAAATAATAAACATTTCACATTTTGTACGATCACTACGTTAACTACTGTTAACTGTTGATGGGATTACCGGTACGTGGCAAAATATGTATACGGAAGATTTTCTACGTCGACCCGAGGGTAGAGCTGGGTGAATATATCTGTGCCAATTGGGTTGTTGAGGGTAATCAGCTAGTGTATTTTTTTTCTTCTCTTTGAAACCAGCGCCTTTTTCATCTTTTTCGATATTGTATTTGAATTGTATTGTCTATCGCTCGCCGGGTAGCTGTATATAATTGTTTCGCTTGCCTATCAGATGCTGTTCCGATGAAAATTCGCTAACAAACAAACAAACAAACCTTGTTGTTCCGAACGAAAGTTCGTGTGGTGTTTGGCCAGTAAGATCCGGACCAACCAATTTCTTCTGTGCTCTTACTAGAGACAGTAAGCTTAGGTGAGTGTATGCTTCCGTGACAAAAACGGTTCACGCCAATCATACTACTTCATCGTACGTGTGTCTGTCTGTCTATATACGTAAATGCGCTATCGACGGGTACAGATCAGCTTTGTACCGCGATAAGCTTGTATGGTTCGATGCATATTAAAATCGATCTTGAAAAAAAATAGTAGCTGCGATATTATCAACGCAATAAATGACTTCCTGTCCACTTTATGAAAGCGCACTCGTACCAGCGGAAGGTGAATCGAGAAGTCCTATTTTCCACTGCGAACCGTTCGTTTTTTTCATCTTCCTTACCCCCAACTTTCTCTGTCTATACATAAATGATGACAAACATCTATCTATACACATATATAATTGTTACAACTATTACCCTGAGAGCAGAACGAAAAATCTTCGTCGTCAGTGCTGTCATGTTAAACCTTTACTTTAGTTCGTCGACATGTTATTATAGAAAAGATGAAACGACTAGTAATCAAAAGTACATTTTCATCATTATTGTCAACCTGCACTGACATAGGCTGTTCATAAGCTTCTTCTATTTTGTGCCTGTTTACTCACGAATTTACGCTTTCTACAAGTATTAGTATTGCTTGAGCAAGACATGGCTGTTACACGTGACACAAAGGCAACAACAGTATGAACATCTGAATGAAAACGCTCGTAGACAAATTACCACCTATAGAAAACTGTTAAATGCGGATCTCCAATAATGAGCAAACTTAAGATAATGCATGTCTGCCCAAGTCGTCATTCCTAGAATGTTTCGTTCCACTTCCTTAAGGTCGCTGCGCACCGTTTGTACTAGTCACAATTTGCTGAACTTCATTGGCGCCTTTCTTGACGGCCGGCTCAAAAAAACAAGACGTTATATAAGTCGCGAAGGGGTCGCTGTTAATTGAGGATATCAGGAGGAAGGCATCGTTTGCGGCAAAAGGGATTGACTCAAAATTATTAACTTGTTGATTTCCTAGGTTGGCCCCTACCCCCGTCACCGCACTCCTCGGCCAGTCGCAGCACTCGACCTCTTGACAAGTGCCGTACCTTTTGCTGCTTCACAGGGCGAACATAGCAAGCCCAAGACCCAATACATTAGCTAATGCAAAAAATAGAAAACCGATCTTCAGGCCCGACATTCAGGGAATTCATAAGTAACATTTCGGTATCGGGAAGGAAAGCTCAGCTGTACGTACAACACGTCCTCATCATGTCATCAAAAACTGAACGCTTTAAGATTTTATCAAAGACGATGACGTTCAACTGAGAGACATTACTCAGGACGGCTGGTACAACAAACGTTATCTGTCTCTGATCCTGTATAACAGAAGAAAACGGTGCACGGCTCAATATCGACGGCAAAATGAAAGACGGAAAATGGGTCTGCTATTGATCGCGAAAACACAGCTGCACAGAGTCGTCACACAGACAATTCAGCGCTTCATGCATTAGACCGCCATGTTGTCCGCCTCGCTTCATCGATTATAATAATCGTACAAGCAAAACTGTATGAACCTATGCTCACCTACTCATAGCGTATGCTGAAGCACATAAGTGTAGTATTGGCTGCCGGCAGAAGACAACTTGTGAACGATATAACGTGGACAATTGAAATCAGAAAATTATCACGTGGCTGTTCCATACGTCAGTCAATCGCATCAGCGGACCGAAAATTTTAGTAGATCTGTAAGCACTAATCTTCTCTTCCTGAAAAGTACAATCATCTATTTTTGATCCGAGAGTTCAGGATCTGCAACGTCGCCATCATTTACGAGATCAGTCCGCATTGATGCTCATCCATCGACATTTTTGTCCTACCCAGCCCAATCGCCAACAAACAACAGAAGCAAGCTTAAGCCACTGATATTCATTGATATTGGGAGAAGCGTTCAGTACTGAAACCAACCGCTATTCCCTAACATCGAGTGAGCACCAACGTCATTCTCATATGGATAATTGAAAACGTTCATTAGTTCGATGAAGTTGAGAAGGATAGCGTCGACTTTACTTCGCAGAGAGAACATATAAATAAGCTCAAACGTTATCTATGGTTAGAGGTCTATAGGGGTTCAGTGTCTGTCAATATCGACATGTGTTAAGGGTGTTCTGCAAGAATCGCCAACTTGAAGTTTTCTAGGGTGATTGGCACAAGTCGAGCAGATAAATGTATACATGCACACAAACAAAAGAAAGACCACGACGAAACATTAAATCAAAGGGAGACGGACAAGACTGGAAATGTTTGCTAAGCAGATTAGATGCTCCTTTAGATAAGGGCTCCGACAAAATATTACTAGTGGGATTGATCTTGGCCGTCTCTTCCTTTGGCGACAGAATCTTCCTAGCCATGATGAACGCAAAGACTTTCGTAAAAAGACGCGTCTTGGGAAGAAGATATGGGGAAAGACAGACAGAGAAAAACGTCATGTTCTAACAATAAACAGGTAACGGATACCTGCTAATAATAATGGTACATACAATAGCTGGAAGCTGGCCAACTCTGGCATCGAGATAATGTAGAGATAGAAATAATATAATAACAACAACAAGAGTGCGATGGAGGAGTCGTACTGCCTCATCGATCGATATTCCGTAACACAGCGAACACAGTAATCTTAACGGTAACTTTCTAATATTGATTAATGATAATGAAAATGAATAATGGAAATAAATAAGGTTATGTGACTATTTAAAGGTGATTCTTATCAGTGTTACTGAGATAATTAAATGAAGACATGTGAAAACCGTTATATATATATATATATATTAAGCAAATTTACATAGAGAAGTCAGGGCGGGAATTCACGATCTTGCAAACCCTCTCGAACAAGCACGCTTTTTAGTTGCTACATAACACGTTCACTAAAACTACTACTACTACTACTACTACTACATCTAATAGTAATCGTTTTTATTGTTATAATAACAACTTTGAAACAATGAAGACAAACATCCAAGCGTTGATTAGTGGCTATCGTGAACAGTCTGAATGAAAACCTCTGGTAAAAAAGGTGGCTGGCTGCAAGCGAGCGACAAAGCGTGCATGAAAATGGACGGGCAGAATGTGAGGCACACCTTACTTTTCCTAAAAGACACTATAGGCCACTCAGCCCTACTTTTTTTTTTTTTTTTTTTCGGAAAAAGAAATCAGTATCAGTATCAGCGCATTCTGCTCTGGACGAAGTGATTTTGTCGGTGACGCAGGTTTCGTTATCATAGCATAAAGAAGTAAGCTTCTTTCGATCTGCACTAGTCAATAATCATAATGATATTAATGGCATAAATGCCATTTATCTAAGGCAGAAAACTGCAGTGTCCGAAGTGAAGCCGTAAAACAATATCGATCTTCTTTTTTTGGGCGTTTGAAAATTTCACGTAGTCACGCATACAGCGGTGCACCGAATGTCACTTGAAGAAATTCTGAGACCTGAATAAAAAACCTGAATTCGAGTAATATGTGATGACTGCAAAAAAAAAAAACATGATTGTGTGCGTATTCTATCACCTGTCGCCTAAGAACAGCAACATGATAAACATTACACGATGAATCATTCTTAGTAATTTTCAAACAATGAAAATCTCTCCGACTTCAATGACCTATTTTTCCTCTGGTAGGCTTGCTATTCATTCACGTTTGAACAGGCGACACAAATCGACAAAATCGAGCTCAAGCTACGTCTATGAATCGAGGGCAATAGAGAATGGGACCGTGGCAAAACGAGTAGGAGAATCTTTCGTAAAACGAAAAGCATCGTATTAATGCACACACACCAATGTTATACTAAAAAAAAACTTGTGCGGGCAACACTTCCTCCAATATCGAAACTGGGAGTCATCTCGTTCGGTTTAAGTTCGAGCCCGTTACGTTTACTCTTCGTTGCTCTGCGCGAACAGATCCGCCTAGATTGGGTCGGAATTCATTGCCACGCCTGACCTCCGAGTCGAAACAGTGATTGTAACTTCGCCCGCAGTCATAAATCATATATAGCTAGTAACTAATAAATAATAGTAACGTCTATGGATAAGTTCGTCAACTCAAATAAAGCCACACGCATTACGGAGTTTCCCACCCACATTGGCAGCAGTATTAATAGACCCATAGCCCTATTTACTGAAACAATGAACAGCGTACTAATAACTTATCAATCTTCAACATTTTCGACGGTGACCGAAGCAAACAGTTAGGGAACAAAGTCTTTCTTCCGCCGAAAAGTCGAACTTCTTAGCGTCTACCACCTCAGCGTTGACAAGAGAGCAATTCTTTCTTTTGTACGCTAAGCTAAAATAAGTATGGCAGTATAAATCGTTAATGTACTACCATGATTGAGCAGATGCTGGAAGATCGTAAAGAAAATAATCATGAGTGACGGCAATAACCACAATAATATAAATCGCACGTTTTTTTTTCTCACATGAACGCAATAGATATGCAATTAAACTGTGGCTGGACAGGCACATACATGCATCCACATAGAAAGCTATAGAAAGAAAAGTTCTTGCCTTAAACTATGTTTGAGCAACAAATGTAAAAGGAAACAGACGTTCTCTAGGACAGCTAACATCCGATTCCGTAGCCACGTTGAGTAATACCGTAACCGTATTTGATGTACTGGTTCGGACAAGCTTGAAAATACCATGCCGCGGCAAAGGGAACTCCGCTTTACATTCGTTATTTATTGAATGCACGAACTAGTTAATCGGCACACCCCAAATCGACAACATTATCTTCACTCTTCTCATAGTTTCGCTCAATACGTCAGCTACAATATGATTAATTGTAAAACTTTGATCTTCTATATACGTCCCTCCAATATGTCGAAAAAACACGAAACGAAAAAACAGCCATTTCGGGGTCTTTGCCATTTCGGGGGCATTTTTACCGTGTGGAATCGGGGTACCGAAACAAAACTGTACCATCAAACGTGCTTCAGGCCTATACTGGAAATAACAGAATAACGAAAAGAAATTGAATACCGATAATAATAATTATAGAACTGATCGATAGGGCAGTTCGCCCGTGAGGCATTACTATATAATCGTAACTATACCGCAGACTCGGGGCGATATCAGTAAACGTTGAGACAGCACCGGGATCGTTGGCCTCTCATTCAAATTCGGAATAACAGGCTGGTAATTGTTGACGTTCACACGACGTAACTATCAATCACAACTTCATGAGGACATAGGTAATCATCATTGAATGTATCATGCATACATTTAGTGGAGAACAGGGATCGTTTATAAAGACAACATCGATTGAGTCATACCATAGCACACGATTATTAATCCTAGCAGAGCGGCCATTGTTTAGTCGTGTTAGCTAGCGTACGGCACAATGTGAGGAGTCACAAACGTCTTTTGTTAGAAAGATTTGTATGATGATTCTTAAACAATAGAAGGTCAAGAGGAACAGCCAGATGTGGATGCGAAATAACACGAGCCGAACAAGTGGCAGCAAAGCAAACAGAGTCCACAATAATAAAGAAGCAAACAATAAATAATTATGATACTTGTATAAAATAAGTGAATTTATTGTATATTTACTAAATAAATTAAAATATTAAGTTAACTTTATCTTGCTTGCATTTAATATGGGGCTTATTTGATTTTTATCGGTGTACATACAAGTAATTTGTTCGTCAATTGTTTCTGCTTTTCGATTTTCATATAACTTGCAATCAATTAAATGACTTACAGTAAGTTAACTTTTCATCGGATACTAATAATATATGTACGATATAATAAACACCAGGGGTTTGTATTTACTAGAGAACTGAAAATGTAGTTGCAGCATTTAGGGCTACTCGGTGTTATGCACCATAGGGCAATACTGAGAGATTTGATCCAGTCCTCATAAAGAAACAATGAATAGCATGAAAATAGTACTTGTTAAGTTAATCGTTTATATGTAGCGTAATAGACAGATAATGTCACTGCTAATTAACGATGTGCACCTGAAATTTTTTTGGGTTAATTAAATGTTTAATAGGGTCGAATTGTGTATAGAAAAAAATCGACACAAAAACCTGCTTTTTCAGAAATCCTTATACCTAGAAGCGCAAAACACCCAGTGAGCAATACTGGGGTCGAAGTTCGTCCCTAAATCTATCAAATGGACAAAAAATCAAGCACTTTGTTTTTTTTTTATATTGCATCTGCGCTCCGGAGCATCGTTTCCAACGTCGAGTTACGACGGTAGACCCAGACGCAGGGGAACAACGGATCAAAAAAGCTTGTCGCATCCCACTTCACCCCCCAATCGTTCTCTACCAGGTTGTATTTTGACAAATTGTACTACGTTGAATAAGTTCGTAACCCTCCATATGTCATAGCAAGGGAATCAGATAACGATGTTTGTTGTGCACGTCGGTGTTTAGTTCGTACTTTTCGACAGAACAGTTGTACGGCCTCATTCCGCTGTACTCCAATACTGTGCGTCCTTGTTTCGATTGGCAGTGACGTGGTAAATTGTGCCTTTAGACGTCAAGTTTATAGAAGTTTTATAGTTTGACTTTATTACGAACGAGGCCTAAGCATCTGAAGTACAGTGGCATTTCCGTAGCCTTCGGGTCCATTTTGAACTTTCACGATAATTGATACTTCGTTACGGAGACGTCAACTGAGCCTCGCCATGTTAAGAATTTCACTGAATGGAAAACTTTGATTGTTTATAACACCGAAGGCAAAAGCATCAAGGTTCGTCCTCGACTCTCCGCGTATTACCTGCCGGTCAGGTTGACAAGGCCCTCGCATGTGACCTCGGCGCTGAAAGCAATATCTGCAAATCAGAGCTGAACAAACAAGAACAAACTGTTTATTCATATCAAGATAATAATAATCTCGATAGGCGATTTTTGTCGTTGTGGCTGTCTCCGCGAAACTTTTTGTTGTATGCAAATAAACGTTTTATTTCAACAGGACGATAAACACAGCCTTAAGCGAGCTAACAAGAGCAAGAATATATAATCATTGTATGAGTATATATGGTTTCGTGTTAAGCATCGTGTAATGTCAGCACGAAGAAAGCTTACCACGGATAGTTCAAACCAAAAACCTTCGGTATATATGAGACGTATTTCTTCTGTCATCGCTATGTTTTTAATAAACATATGTGCAACTCTTAGTAAACATCCGAAGTCGATGTTTTAGCAAAGCGTCATTTAAACGTGCCCGTCATTAGTACCAGACAAACGACATCATAGGTAACAGATGTCCCCCAAGAAACTGGCTCACTAAAGCTAGTTTTAACAGTTAGTAATTATGCTTTAGTATTTGCTTAAGTGGATTTGCAAGTGTGCTTAGTAATGAATTCGTTTGTAATGTATGTTTAAAAAAAAAGCTCTTGCAGGTTCACTTATAGGATTGCAGGTTTTATACCCAAGAAAAAGCCCAGTGCTCCATTAATGAGAACTCTAAACCCAAATGAATTTCTTTTCGAGGTCACTACCAAGACGGCTATTATTGGAACGGAATGAGGTGTGTGAAGAACAAGCATAATTTACATGACAAACGTGGGAAACAAGTTGTTTATAAATATTTGACAAAATGGTGACTCATAAACGGACACAACTAATTTTTGGAGACAGTGCCTATTTTACTTATTTATATTACAATACAATATATATTTTTTATATTATTTTTTTATATTATAATACAATATATATTATATATTTATATTATATACAATATAATATAAATAATACTTATTTATATTTATTTTATTTATATTATAATTTATCAATTATTAGAATTCAGCGTAAACGCTTTTTAATAAATCTATGTAGAAATTTATACTATATATATCATAGATAATCTATGTAAGCTATAATCATAGGCAAAGACAGAATATTGCACGCAACGTTACCTGTGATGAACTGTTACAGGGCGTCTATTCTAATGTTGATACTGTGTAGGGCGTCGGCAGGCGAACGTAGACTACATGGGTAATTCGAATAATTTCAAATTTGAGCGTGGGAAAAATGAAACACATTCTCCAAAGCTCTAGGTATATACAAGTTAGCTTGCGAGTTTTCTGCCCGCGCACGAAGAACTTCAAGCTATATGTGATTGATACCGGAGTGGATATTGTTGATGACGATACTTAGCGTATGCTGTACTCCGATAAACTCGAATGTTAGAATTTCATTCTTCTGATCGCATAGGTTACTTGTTTTTGCAACGTTTAAAATCTATGCTACGTTAATATACAAGATCGCCATGTTAATACCAATACGACTTGCGACTAACTAGTATCTGTGAGTGCTGTTGTAAAACTTAGGCAAGGTCAATCTAAATACTACGGCACCACATAAGAGAAATCCTATCGTATGTACAGACAATGGCCTAAATGGAGGCTTCAAGAAGATGCCTTGCGTTAATCAATCACGCCCGAGGCGGCCACAGGGTGTCGGCTTCTGACAGCATTGCTACGATGATTATATCCGCAATAGAACGGTAGCTCGCAGATCGAAAATGTCCTTCAAAAAGACTTACGAATGAAACTTTTATTGCATACATAAAACATGTATACATATTACGAGGTCACAAAAGAGGAAAAATTTGCGGTACGTTTAAATTTTTTTAAATGTATTATGTACTATAAATATGTGCGCCGCAAGCAATGATATTACAATTAACTAGGTTAACGCGTCCCAAATCTTTACATAAGGAGCTTCTTAAGCCCGAATAAATCGCGGTTCGTCGGTAGTAGCGGTGTTTGCAGCGGATCGAATCTCGAATGCTAAACTCGGCCCGATGGACGTTACTGTTCGGCAACGAACGAGGTTACTGCGTCGGCACACTGCTTCAACTTCGAGGGGCTTGCGAGACTTCCGTAAGCACCGGTGCTCAGAAATGCGCAGTAGAAACGTGTAGCGTGGTTCCTGCGCAAAGCACCGTAATTTCAAGGATTGATACCCGAAGTTTCGCCTCTATCGGAGGGTGAGTTTCTTAAAGGGGGTCGCCAATGACGGATTTGCGCTCGAAGTTGAACTTCTCTGTGGTAAGGCAGTCACAGTACGCGATTCTAGGGCGGACGTAAACGGAATCTCCCCGCAGTGAGTGAGTAAGCTATGCTCGCTAGATACCGCAAGGTTTTCGAAACTGTATACCTGCACGGCGCCCAGCGCGCCCCACTGATGATTCTGGGTATGGGTAACTTCGCGTCGACGACGGGCCAGAAGAGTCGTTTCTCATCGTCGATAGCCTCGCAAAGGATTTAATTCTAGGCAAACAGCTTTTGATGAAGAGCTTCCAACTGATGAAAACAGGTAATAATTCGCCCCCATTCGGGAACACGTTTTGTTAGCGAGCGTAGCAATCTTAAAATCACCCCAGCACTGTACTGCAGCTAGACAGGGCCACGAGCAAATACGGCCATGCCTTTGAGCAGCCGGCCAGATTCACCTATGCAGATCTTGCTCAGCACATTATTTAAATCAGAAATTGACGTCCAATCCGCCCCCGATGGTGAGTAACTATCGA